AAAATCTAATGTTTTCAACAAGGAGATATAGTTGTTAGGGCTAAAGGGATCAAAGGGTATGTATAATCAGGCATGATCAAATGGCAGAGTAGATTCAATGGGCTGAAGGGCCTAATTCTGCTCCTGATCATATGGTCTTATGCATGAAAGCAGGAACAGAATACTAAGTTGGTTGATCAGCTATGATGAACCAGGTGGACCAGGCTCAAAGGGCTGAATGGCTACTCCTGTCCCTATTTTCTATGTTCCTATGTAAGGATCAATAGCATGGTCTGGATTGCCTTGGACCTGCATTTAGATCCTTGGCAAGTTCACTCTGCGTGCATTGCTAATGAACAATGAAATGATTGCAAATTTCAGCTACAGTTAACTTGCCATCACTTGCTTCATATATTTGTCCTTTCACTGTCCAAGTGTCCGTTAGATGTGAAACTTGCTCTTTCACTCGTCAAAATGACACTGAACTGCCCACCTTGGGCATAGTCTTACCCATTTTTCAGCTACATTTCACATTTAGAGATGGCAAGATGTGTACACCACGAGCACCACCAGGTAGCCCTTAGAGTCTCAGGGACTCAGGCCAAGGGCTTGCATCACCCCGATAGCCAATCATTTCCCCAGGCCTGACTGACCAGACCCCTAACCACAGTCTTTGTGCAGCTCCCTGACTGCTGGTGCTGGCCCTACAGTACTGATTGATGAAAACCACCTCCTGCCCCCGTCCCCAGACTGTACTGGGACAGATCCCTTGGCCATGGGTGATCTGACTGGATGCCTCACTATGACTAAGCCCTTGGACTGAGTGCATGCTGTGCCCATGACCAGCCCCTGGCAGTTTGTGGCTCCTTTTTGTTTCAACTCAGCCCCCAAATAGTTACCAACATGTTGGGTGAATAAATGTATGGTATGTTTGTTGCAAAGATGCCTGGCTGATGCAGTAGGTGTTCAATTGATGTCTCGGTAAGCTGTATATCAAGATGGTGTCCTCCACAAACAGATCCCTTATGACAAACAACCTGACCATGTGTGACAACAAGGTGCAGAGCTGGATGAACACAGCAGGCCAAGCAGCATCATAGGAGCAGGAAGGCTGACGTTTCGGGCCTAGACCCTTCATCAGCAGCCTTTCAATGTTCATTTGCTGGTGCCCCTGCAATGCAGGTCTATACTTCCTAAAGTTCTGCATGTGGATTGGAGAGATGCCATGATGATCGGTGAGTGTTGGATGCCAATGTTTGTGGATGAGTGGTGAGTGCAGCTGGTGCCCACAGAACAGGACGAGAGATACTGTTTGGTAGTGGGCAGCATGAGGGCTCCTTGCAGCCACTGGTGAGCTGAAGTCATCAGCTATCTGCTCTGACTTCCATGTCAGGAATTCTCAACATATAGCTGGTTCGATGCATTTGGTAAACCACGAGGCTGATTACTAATGAGCTGAGTTGAGAGCTATAAGGCATTTAACAAGCAATAATCTCCTTCAATGGTAACTCTCCACTGTCTAGTGAGAAACGTGCCTCCCCGTTTGGAAAATGCATAAAAGATGCAATGAGATATACCCAGTGTCAAGACAGGCCTTGTTGGACTTCTCGTCTGATTAACCCATGTCACTCTATCAGGTTCCACCCTGGGTAACTGCTTTACAGAGCACTTCTGCTCAGTCCTCCAGCATGACCTCAAGCATCCAATTGCCTGTCATGTTAATTTACCACCTTGTTCACACACTCAAATTCCGTCCTTGGTCTGCTACAGCGCTCCAGTAAAACTCAATGCATGCTCAAGGACAAGCACCTCATCTTCCCATTGGGCACTTTGCAACCTGCTGGATTCAACTCTGACTTTAACATTGTCTGTCTCTCATCATTTTGCCATCTGCTGATTTGAATTTGGATATTCAAACTTTTGCTTTCAGGCAGAGCAGATCTGAAATAACTCCACAGAGGCCAGTGTCCTGTCACTAAGTCACCCTTTATTTACGCATGGAGAGCCAACTCTCAGAATGAGCAGAACCTCTAACACTCCTGTTTCTATTTGTCAGCCAGGGCTCCCTTATAGGACCAGGTTAAAAGCCCCAATCAAGGAACTCATATTCTATGAGCTCCACCTGGCTGACCTCGTTACAATCACTACATCCCTCCCCGAGTCCAAGAACATAGGCTGGTTCCTTTTTTTTGTAGCTCCTCTTGGAACATTTTAGCACCGGGTCAAGTTCCTCCAACTCTGCCTTGGATACAGGCGGCATGTAACACACAGGAGCTCACCTCTTGTGCCCAGAATGTCTCAAGAAATTAATTGTCTTCTTCAGGCGGCAAAGGCATCGAGGTGGCTGCATCTGCCATGTCCATCTCAGACTCCAAGGTAACTTCAACACTTTGGAGAGGGAGAACCCACGGGTTTTGGAACAGTTGGAAAGGCAGTCGAGGAGCCAGGCACATCTTTCTACTGCACCATTTGCAAGTCTGTAGCTTTCATATGACCCATGTGCTTGTTCAGGTCAGTTGCACCTACTCAAAACTTTATACATAACTGGACCTGACCTCACATCAAACATGCCTCTTACCCATGTATTGCAAAAGATTCGTGCAGTTTTTCTATTGCCGTTCCTGTGTTTGATGAATGAACTCTATGTCCATCCAGCCACTTTGAATGGGCATCCACAATGACTAAAAACATTTGAGCCTAAAAAAGGCCCCTGCATTGTCAACATGTAACAGAGTCCATGAATGTGGGGGAGCTGTTGGTGGTAATTTTTGTCCTTGTTGGCACTCTGGGCACTGACCACAAATGCATTCATTCCTGGCACCAGACAAATTCTTGCCAACATCTTCATTTTGGAAATCCCTGGCTGATCCTGGTGGAGTTCAGCCAGTATCTGGCGATGACCTTTACTCAGGGCAATCACCGTTGCTCCCCACTATAATATGCCATCCTCCACTGTGATCTGGTCTCTCTAGGTCCAAAAAGGTTTCAATTCTGGATGTGACGGCCCTTTTGGTTTCCCCCATCACCACCAGCTGTTACAGTTTTGCCAGGACCAGAAATTTTTGCGTCCAAAGTCAGATATTGTCAGCTGTGACTGGGAGTGCATCCAAAAAGTTTAGTACTATACCGACTCTTCCAATGGCGGTACCACCGGAAGTGTATCTGTCAGTGGGAAGCAGCTCAGTGCAACCACATTTGCTACTTGGCCTCCCTAAAAGTGTTTTAACTTGTAATTATACACACTTACTATTAGAGCTCACCACTAAATTTGGCCTGTAGCTGTGGGTGGCAATGACTTGTCCTCGTGAAGTAGACCTGGCAGGGGTTTGTGTCGTTATTATTGCAAGTTTATGTCCGTAAAAGTGTTGGTGGAATTTCCTGATTCCAAATATGGCTGCCAAACCTACCTTCCTTATCTGGCCATAGTCATGCTCTGAATTAGCCAAAGCCCTGGATGCATACCCTATTGGACGTTCCTCTCTATTGAGCAATCTATAAGCTAATACCGAATGGAGAGGCATTGCATAGAATCATGGAATCCCTGTGTGGAAGCAGGCCATTCAGCCCATTGAGTCCATACTGACCCTCTGAAGAGCATCCCACCCAGACACAACCCCTAGTTCTGTGACCCTGCATTCCCCATGGCTAATCCATCTAGCCTGCATAGCCCTGGACACTACAGCCAATTTAGCATGGCCAATCCACCTAACTTGCACATCTGTGGACTGTGGGAGGAAACCGACAGATGCACACGCACACGCACACACGCACACGCACAGTCCTAACCCTATCACAGTCACCAGAGGCTGGAATCAAACCCGGGTCCCTGGCACTGTGAGGCAGCACTGCTAACCACTGAGCCACCTTGCTGCCCACATGCTGCATGTCAATACCAGATCTCTCTTGGGATCATAGTGTGACAACACCTTAGAGAATAATAGCTGTTCCTTCACTTCCCTGGAAGTTATGGTGTGGCTATGTGACCATTTCTAAGGCTGACGACTTTTAAAGAGTTGATGTAAAGGTGCCAGGTTACATATGAACTTTCTGTAATACTTCACCAGCCCAAGGAATGACCTAAGCTCCAGGACTGACATGGGAGCCGAGGCACCTTTGATCACCCCCACTTTATCTCCCAACAGGTGTAACTCAATCTTGTTGACTCTGTAGCTTAAGTAGATTACTTGAGGGGGCCTGAAGCACCCATTTTTCCTTTCTTAGGTGTACACCCGCCTGGAATGAGGACTATGTTCAAGTTCTTTAAGTACTCTTTATTGGTCTTCCTTGTTATTAGGGCATCATCTAAATAATTTGTGACCTTGGGTGGACCTTGTAAACTGTTCTCCAGCTGCTGAAAAATTGGACAGGCTGACAAAATACCAAATGGCAGCCTTGTATATTGGCACAAATTTTTTATGTGTATTAAATGTACCATACTTATGGCAATCCTCACCTAACCTTAATTGCAAGAATGCACAGCTC